ATATGAGAGAGAGAGAGAGAGCACTAGGGTTCATACTAGTTATGTGATATCGTCCTTGCGGAACCCTAATCTTGTCTTCGACAATAAATTCAATGAATCCAAAATAAATGTTCTAATCCAAAAAAAAATTGTTTCTTGCTTGCGTAACCCTATCATATAAAAGAAATGTTTTTTGCGGAACCCTATCAAAATATCATTGGATTCACTATGATATTTTGATTCAGGTTCATGTTACAACAATTCAATGAATCCAAAAATAAATGTTCTAATCCAATATATCTTCTTCATTTCTTCATGATTGAACCTGTTTGAACTAGTTGTCACAACTACTTCCTTTAATCTTCAACTTAATCTTGATGTTCAACCTTTGATTAAATTCAATCTTGATAATTCACCTATCTACACTTAATATAGAATTAAATCCTTGAATCATTTTCTTCAACAGGTTAACAAATCCACATGAAAGCTCTACAACAATTGAGAAAAACTACTTCTTTTTTCCTTAGTCTTTTAAGAATGGTTCTATTAAACCTTTTAGCTAAACCATTTTGTTGGGGGAGTACCTGTAGTATTTTTATGCCTTTCAATACCAGACGCAACACAATAGCTGTCAAAAGTTTGAAGACTCTGGTTGAAAACTAAACTGGCAGGAAGGTTAAGAGGTTGAGGATTGACAATGGTCTTGAATTTTGCAATGAGAGTTTCAATAGCTATTATGTTGTGTCTAGTATTACAAGGCACAGACCTACTGCAGTTACTCCTAACCAAAATGGTTTGGTTGAAAGGTTTAATATAACCATTCTGAAAAGAGTGAGGTGCATGCCGGTTAGTGTTGGATTGAAGAAAATGTTCTGGGCCGAGGCTAGTGCAACTGTAATATACCTAATAAATAAGTGTCTTTTAACTGCCTTAGGGATGAAAACACCTGAAGAAGTCTGGTCAAAATATTCACCTAATCTTGATAGACTTGGAGTATTTGGCTGCTTATCTTATGCTCACATTAGGAAATACTAAGTCGAACCTAGAGCTATGAGATGTATGTTTCTTGGATACCCGAAAGGAGTCAAAGCTTATAGTTGTGGTGCCTAGAGCCAGGTCACAGAAGGTGTATCATAAGTTGAGATGTTGTTTTCAATGAAGCAAATATGACTATAGAGAAAAATGATGATATTGGTCGAAATGAAGAGATCTCTGAAGAGGTGCAGGAACATGAAGAGATTCCTGTTGAGGTGGAACATAGTAATGTTGAATTGCATAACCCAGATGAAGCCGAAGAAGATGCACAAGTTGCTGATGAAGATGAAGATAGTGAAAATAACTACCTACTGGTAAGAGATAGGTCGAGAAGAGTCATCAAGCCACCTCAGAGACTTGGTTATTCATATTTTAAACCTTATGCCTTAATCTCTGCAAGTGAGGTTCTGGAGACTATAAAGATGTTATGAGGAGTCAAGACAAGATTGAATGGCTTAAGTCCATGAATGATGAGATGAAATCACTTCATGATAATACTAGATACAACACAGATATAAGTGAATTTTCAAGGTTAAGGAAGGAATTAAAGGAGTGATGTTGAAGAGATTTAAGGCAAGGTTTGTTGCTAGGGGGTTCAACAAAAAAGAAGGATTCGACTTCAATGATGTGTTCTCACCTGTTGTGAAACACATAACCATTAGTATGTTGTTAGCCATGGTTGCAAAGTTCGACCTATAACTTGAACATATGGATGTGAAGACAACCTTCTTGTATTGTGATCTAGATGAAAGCATCCCGATGAGGCAACCTGAAGAGTATGCAAAAAAGGACAGGGAGATTATATGTGCAAGTTGAATAGGTCACTGTATGACTTGAAACAATCTCCTCGGTAATGAAATATGAGATTCGACGAGTTCATGGTACACATAGGTTTCACTAGGAGCTAGTTCGACCATTGTGTTTACTTCATATTTCGACTTGAAAATTCACTTGTTATTTTGTTACTTTATGTGGATGACATCCTCATAGAAAACAACAGTGTCAAAGATGTTATGAAGGTGAAGGTTGAACTCAATAAGGAGTTCGACATGAAGGATCTGGGAGCTACTTCCAGAATTCTTGGGATTGACATTTAGAGAGATAAAAAGCAGCGAGGTTATGCTTATCTAAAAAGACATACCTACTGAAGATTCTCGACAAGTTTGGTATGTTGAATTCAAAGCATGTTGTAACACCGACTAATCCTCGGTTCAAGCTGAGTACGACTCAAAGTATTAATATTGAAGTCGAAAGAGCATATATGAATAACATTCTATATGCTAGTATAATATGTTCTTTGATGTATGTTATGGTCTGTACGAGGCCAAACATAGCATACAAAGTGAGCCACGTAAACAAGTATATGACCAATTCTGGGAAGATGCACTGACAAACATTAAATTAGATTCTAAGATAGATAAATGAGTCTCTGAGCATAGTCCTAATTTATGGTGGAGCCTGTGGTAATGATAGAAAAGTCAAAATCGAAGGATTTGTTGATTTTGAGTATGTAGGTTGTATGGATTTTAGAAAATATATTTTTGAATATGTGTTCACTATGTTTGGCACAACAATCAGTTGGAAAGAAACACTTCAAAAGGTTGTTACTTTATTAACCACTTAAGCAGAGTATATTGCCCTCATTGAAGATGTGAAAGAAGAATTGTGACTTGAAGGTTTTGCTAAGGAGCTGAAACTCCAAGGTCAAGCAATCACTATTAAATGTGATAGTCAAAGTGCAATACACCTATCGAATAATTCATCCTATAATGAGTGAACCAAGCACATCGATGTGAGGCTACATTTTGTCCGAGAGAAAATCGAGCGTGGAGAAGTCCAAGTGCTGAAGGTTTTGACTGATGACAATATTGCTGATATGATCACTAAGACATTGTCGAGTAGCAAGTTCTTCCACTGTATACAATTGATAAAGGTGCATGATGAAAGGTAAGTTGTTTCCTTGTTAGTGTAAAGTTTGTTCCAAGGTGGAGATTTGTGTTATTTGGATTGAACTTTAGCCTCGACAAGGTTAGTTTCATAGTTCGACAATAGTCGAAGATGTGCATGTCGTGGTCGAAGTCTGTTCTTGTATGCAAACATATGTTAGCTTGTTGTTTAAGTTAGCATGTCGAATTAGGCCAATCTACTAGACCAATTTTTTAGTATGTTAGTCGAAAGTTAGAGTGTAGTTTTTCTATAAATAACATACTAGTCATCACTTCTCCATCAATCCCTGATAATTCTAATCAGAGGGAGAAAGTAATGTGATTGAATTTCAATTTTAAACATTGTACCCTAGTATGTAATTAAATCCAGAATTCATTTTTAACCACTTTGAATTACCTTTCTTTTTCTTTTCTTTTTTTCTTTTACTTTGTATTTTTTTTTTTGTTAATGAAAAAACTAATCATACTCTATTTACTAAAGATCATTTTCACAGCATATACTAATTTGATTCAAACGACTTGTTCATAGTTTTCCTACATTTTCTTTAAATATTTATTGAAATAGTCAACTAAAAATCCTAATAAAATTGAGTTCTTTTTATTAAAAATGAGTAATTTACATTCTAACATTCTTCAACAATAACACTGAAACACTTTTTATTTCTTCATATATACACATTCAACACTTTATTTATTTACATCTTTCTATTGTTATTTATTTATTTATATTGTTATTTATTTATTTATATTGTTTTATTAAGTTACCAAAGTTATGCAATAGGAAAGATAGCTAATCCTTTCCCCCATATAACACACCTCTTTATTTTCTCTCAATGTGTTAGATTGATGTAAGAACATTTTCCTCGTCTCACTATCTCAATAATATCATTAACTTCAACGTATAGAAAACGACATATATTGAAACATTTAAAAATACATGAGTACACCATATAGATAGACACATTGAGCACCGTAAGATTACGCAAAATATGTAGAGGTCGAGTGTACGAAAGATGAAATCGTACACGAAGGAGACAATTAAGTGACAGAATCGATACATGAGGAGTTAATTAAAAGTAGCAAAAGTAAGGAACCAATACAGATAATATAAACTGTGGAAAAGAGAAAAACACTAAGGGTCCACAAATAATGTTCCACTCACAACAACGTCACACATTTCCTCCCATTTTAATTACCAAATAACATTTACCGGAAATGCAGCAATGATAAATGATAAATCTCTTAAACAATATGTATTAGGGTTAAATCCAATTTAACCGTTAGTTTTTAGGATTGCATGTTGAGGATATTTGGTTAAATTTTACTGTTATGATATCTATCATCATCAGATTTAAAGATTAATCTGTACAGTTGGGTGCAGAAGATATTCTTTATCCGACTCAAGAGTTTTTTAATGTAAAAAAAGAGTAATTTTAATTTAATCATTAAAAAAGTGAGTTGACGTTAATTTAGACGTGAAAGCTAACGGATCAAAAATCTGTGTCGCAATCATTGTTTTTCTTTCACACACCTTGCTTCCTCCATCTTTCTATCCTCAAAATTAATCTTCTTCACTTTTCTCTTCCTTCTTCTTCTTTTCCATAACACCTTACTCAAAAGTTATTAATTTACTTCAACGTCACTTTGTAGATCCATTTCAGTTCTACTATAGTAGAGATCAAGAGCTACCTAGGGTTTACTTTTATTTTTACTTCCATTTTCACTTTAATAGTTCTTCTTCTCGTTTTCTTCTTTAGGTTTTGGAATTTGGAAGTTCCTAACCTAACTCTCTTGTTTTCTTTGAGTTCAACTTGCACCGTAAAGGCTACTGCAGAAGATTAAGTTTTCTTTTCTATTTTTGTTACACAAAAATTATAAAGCTAGAAAGTATGAAAAGTTAAGAAACCAAAAAAAAAAAAACAGGTATGTTATTATTATATTATTTTTTGTTGTTGTTGTTGTGTAATTATATTAATATTAATTTTTTTTGTTGTGTTTTTTTATGGTAGTTAATTTGGTGTTTCAAAAACCTCATATGAAATGAGGCCTGATCAATTGCATGTTGCACAACAAATTAGGCGTGACAAATTAAGGATCCAGAATCAAGAGTTTCCTCACAATAACAACAACAACAACATAGAACAGTTATTATCATTACACCAAGTACCACAACAAGGATTCAACATGGATCTTCATCATCAACTAAGAAATTCCAACAACAAGAACATGCTTGATGATGATGATGATGGTGATGGTGAAGCTGGTCTTTATTCATCTGATCAAATGATGAACAGTTTTTCAACTCCGTCGAATTCGTTACACAGAAACCCTTTGGAGTACTGTTATGAGGCTGCTGAACCAAGTAATAATAATAATAGGTTGAGTTATTATTATGCAAATGAAACAAATCAGAATGTTTTTTTGCCTTCTGAGATTAACCATAGTGATACTACTACTTCAGAAGTTGCTTCCTTAATGCATCATGGTGTTTGGGGAGGTGGGAATAGTCATAACCTGTTCCATGAAAATCAAGCTAGTTTGTGGACAAATAGAGGTGTTACTGTTGACGACGACGACAACAACAACAACATGGGTTTATCTTTCTTTAATGATTGTAATAATCCTCAAGCTCAAGGTTTATCTCTCTCACTTTCATCAAATTCTTCTCAATCTAAACCTTCACCTTCTGCTTCAAATTTTGAACAAGGATCTTTCATAAATGTTGTGAAACCAATAGGAATCTCTTCAAGCAGTACTTCTACGAGTAGTGGTTTCAGGAATATTGGTCCTCTTGGACCCTTTACTGGATACGCAACAATATTGAAAAGTTCAAGGTTTTTGAAACCTTGTCAACAGTTGTTAGAGGAATGTTGCTGTGAATCTGGTGCAAACATTGGAAAACCGTGTGAAAATGTTCCAAAATGGGTTTCTCGAGATGTTGTTAATGTTGAAGATGATGAAACTGGAAAAGGTAGTAGTAGTTCAGGTGGTTCATGCTCTATGTTTTATGGTTCAAAAGAGAAAGAGAATAGTGTTGCTGCTGCTGCTGATGGAGGAGGAGTTGGGAATAGTTTTTGTCTTTCATCTTCTTCTCGACCTGAGTGCCAAAAGAATAAGGCTCAACTACTGTTCATGCAACAAGAGGTAGGTTTTCTCAACTGTTCATGTAACCCTTATTGTACTATGTTTTCTTTTTGTTGCTGAAGTTATTTATGTCTTTTTATGTGTTTTTGTCGCTGTTAATTAATGTATGCAATCAGGAATTCACTGTTTTAATATTTAAAAAAAAGTTTAAATGGTTTGTTTGTTTGTTATTAGCTGTTTTTTTTACTGTGGATGGATTCAAAGGTGTTGAAAAGATGAATTGAAAAAGATATACACATGTTACAAGTAGGTTTTGATGATGTTAGTTTTGTAGGTTATGATTATAAATAAGTTCTTAATTTTGAATTGTTAATTTGTGGTCAATGTTTTTCTGTAGAACTTATCATTCTTCTTCTTTTCTTTTGAAATTTTGGTTCTCATTCTTGTTATATGATGCAAAAAATTACATTTTTTTAATCAATTTTTTAATTAACAAAAACTAGATTAAAAAAGAGTATAAAAATATATGATCGCATTCAACCAGCAAAAATAAATAAACAAAAGGACAGTTCTATGCATATACAAGTCTAAATAATATATATTTTTTAATATTGACGAAGCGGTAATATTCATTCGAAATTTACATATACTATTAATAAATTGAAAACTTAATAATGACGTTCAATTTAATAATATTGATTGAAGTTCAATTGAATAATATTGATTTTTGTTAGTATTTTAAATTTTTGAAGTATTATATGACATGCTAATTTATTTAAAATTTTCTTTTATATTAATAAATTTAAATAAATAATTTAAGATATATTTAAATAGACTAATTGGTTAATAAATTAATAGATTAATGGCCTTTATTTCAAATTTGTTATTTAACACAATTTTTTAGAGAATTTGATTCTATATATTATTATATTTCAATTCTAATTTATAATAATATATTAAAATAAATATTAATATGAACCGGTAACTTAATTTAATACAAAATAATAAGTTTATAATCAATTTAATCTAAAATATTAAATATAATATAATAGTATAATATTCATATTTATCCGAATATGTTAACTCATAGGTCCCAAAAGTTTTTTTAATAATATATACTCTTATTATTTTTTTTATTTAAATAAAGTTTTAAAATAGTTGCTAAAATAGTATATATCAATAGTGTAAAATATTTTTTTTTCAATCAACCAATAAATAAATTTTATTCTACTAAATTATATTTTTATTTTAAAAATATTAATATGATATAAAGAATATAAAGATTTTGATTGATTATTGTTTTACATTTTCTATGTCTTACTTTAAACTCAATAATTGTGGATTTAAATGCTCTCCTTTTTTATATATCGTGTCATCTCTCATGTTTCTAATCTAACGGTTCAGAATTTATAATGAATAATTAAATAAAAAAAATCATTTAATAATGGACAAATTACTTATCCGTTTTTCTCTTCTATTAAATGACTTTTTTTATATAATTATTTATTATAAATTCAAAACTGTTAGATTACAAATATGGGAAAGGATCCAAATCTAATAGTTTTTTTTTTTTTATAAAAAATGTCTTTCATAATCTAAATTTATTGTAGACAAGACAGTAGATTTATGTCGATCTGATCTGATCTACTCCACCTATTTTTGATAATAATGGAAAAGTGTATTAAAGAAAACCTTGCCAAACGATTTTTCAGCAAAGGAAATTCATTGAGTAATGATTTTAAGAAACTACTTTTGAATATCATTAACAAGTTAGTTTCTTCTTTTTGAAGAAGTTATTACAAAATTAGTTTAGAATACTATTTATTATTATATAAATTTATCTTTTCAATATCATTAATAAAGAATAATTTTTTATAAAATTATAATTTTTTTATACTATAATTATTATATTTTTTAAAACGTTTAAAAAATAAAAAATAACTTATAATAAAAAAAATATAATAATTGTAGTATCTCTAATTTAGAGCCACTGTGAAGTTATATTTATGCTTTTAATGGGATTGATTGAAGTGCTAGATGGGAGGAATCTTCCCTATTTTGTTTTCTCTTTATTCTATTTTATGTTTGTGTAGGGTTAGGCCTAGGGGTCTAAAGATCTTACCTTTCATATGATTTGTGATAGAAATTATTTTAAAACAAATTAACTGTATAAAATTGATTCTACTAGCATAATAATAAATTGATATATTGAATTTTACTTAGATAAATTTCTTTCCTTTAAAAAAGACTTTTCCGTCTTGTAATCCTCTCTGGATGGAGAGATTATTCTCTCTATGTGTCCACATTTGCATTTGCAAGAACTGACAGTGGCAATTGCAATTGTGCATTGTAACATGTGGCTAGGTTTAAAAGACTGTTGTTTAATGCAATACAAAAGAATGAAATGAAATGAGCTAAACTCAATCTTTGTCTCTGAAAAGTTGAGAAACAGTTATTGGCATCTTGTATAGTTATTTGTAAATCATTTTATTGGTCCAAAATCCAAGCAAAAACAGTGCATTTGGATAACAATTCATTTTCTAAAAGTACTTTGTTCAGAACTCTATAGAAGAGTTTGAGAGAATACCCTACCTGGTTTTTTTTGTCATCTAGCTGCATCAAAAAATATTTAATATTTTTAGCTTAATATAGTAATTGTGATTGTTACAACAGTATAAAATATCCTCATCATAGTTTAGTGTTGCTTATAGTGCATGATTTCAATGACTTTATTTTTTTTTTACTGTATTACATAACTTTTTCTGTTGTGGTTTAAAGAACTTTCTTATTCACCACGAGATGAATGGTATAAATCTATGATGAATAGAAAGAGCACAAATCATAGGGAGAGAAAAAGTGATCAGAGAAAAAAAAACTAATATTAAAAAAAGTTTCTTTAGAAAATTACACCTTCTGTGCAAAAAGCACAAATTACTTTTTGGACTAATCAGTATATTACCTGATGCAATAAGAATACTACTTTTTGTCTTGAACAGTTTTTTCAGTATTTATTCTTTGCATTCTACTTATCTGCTTTAAAAGTTCTGATAGAAGGTGTGTATGGTGTCTTGGTGCATTAGTTGAAGATTTGTTAGAATAAGTTTAATATGGTTTTAGATAATCTTTTGATCTATGAAGCATTGACACGTTGACATCGATAATAATTTGAGATAATAAAAAAATTAAACATAATCATAAGTGTTGGTGTCGGTTTCAGACACAGACACGTTTTTTCAAAGGTATCGGTGCTACATAAGTTTAAATACTATCCTCACACTCTACAATGGCCGGCCGATCGTGTTTAATATTTTGTGTCGGGGTTTGTGTCATTTAGCATTCTATATTTGTTCAAACAAATTTTAGATATTGGTTAAAAATTGGTATTGACATTAGTAGTGGTGCATTTTGGAATATAGGTTACAAGAAGATACAAGCAATACCATCAACAAATGCAAATGGTGGTTTCATCATTTGAGTCGGTAGCAGGTCTAAGTTCAGCTACACCATACATTTCAATGGCTCTCAAGTCACTATCAAGACACTTCAGATGCCTTAAAAATGGTATCACAGAACAACTCAAGCGTACATGTCAAGTATTGGGAGAGGACTGTTCAATACTACCACCAACCACCACATGTAGTAGTACTAAAATTGACAGTAGTAATATGACAAGGCTAAGATTCATGAATCATAGCTTACACAAGAACAGTAATATTGACTTTGTTGAACCTCAACAACATGTTTGGAGACCACAGAGAGGCTTACCTGAAAGATCAGTGGCCATTCTTAAAGCTTGGTTGTTTGAGCATTTTCTTCATCCGTATGTTTCTGTCTCTGTCAAAGTTTGATCATAAATATTCTGTGACACTTTAGATGAACGTTTGTATAATGTCCAACACGTGTCTGTATCAGACATCAACATAGAATTATAATACTCGTTGATGTTTGATACTGACACGTTTTGGAGACTTGACATACACTATAATGTCTCGTGTAGATGAACGGTGGTTTCATCATTTGAGTCCGTGTTTGGAGTACTTCATTTCACTTTATCAAATTCTGTCTATGTCGATGTGTCAATGTCAAAATAGTGTTGTCTTGTGTTCGTGTCTATTTTAGTGTTTCATAGATAAAATGATTAAATTACTATTTATGTTTTGCTGTTAAATTTCATTTTAGGTACCCTACAGATACAGATAAACACATGTTGGCTACACAAACAGGTCTATCAAGAAACCAGGTAGGGGTCTACTTCTTTTAACTCAATAATTGTTGCTTGAATTGTTTTTGTTTTCGTTCTACAAACTTCATGTAAATTTTTATCATAACTGCTGTAATATCAATGTCGCGTAGGTATCAAATTGGTTCATAAATGCTCGAGTTCGTGTATGGAAACCGATGGTTGAGGAAATACACATGCTTGAGTCAAAAGGCACAACAGAAGGACAGAATCAGAACAACAACAAAACCGAACCCTGCAGAGTTGGAACACATGAAAGGAAATTCCAGTGTCTGGAAATGGGGTCATCGTCTTCAGGCATTCACAATGTTGAAGAGCAATGGAATAATAGTATTCAAGAGAAGAGATCTAAAATGGAAAATGAGATTGCACCAAACATGGATATGGGTTTTTTGCCTTATCATAATGGATCTGTGTCACTGACTTTGGGTCTTAGACATGGAGTTGAAAATGTACAACAGCAACAGTTGCAGCAGGAGGTAGAGCTTAGACACCAATATGGAGGACACATGATCCATGATTTTGTGGGTTGATTATAATGTTTTCTAGAGATTTGTCATAGAATTGAACGAATAATATTTGGATTAGAGGTTCCATTTACTTTTCAACTTGGCAAAGTCTTCAAAATCGATGTAGGTTAAGAGTAGTAGTCATTAAGTATCTAGATATGTAACTTCGAGATCTATTTCATATGTGTAGTACAATGATCCTTGTAGTTATAATTAATTAAATTATTTTTTAAAAATTATTGATGTTGATTTATCGATATTGTATTTGGTGTTTATAATTGTTAGTTTTAAGAAGTTAGTACTCAATTTTGTTAAAAGTATTAGGAGTCAGTTGTATTTGATATAATTGTTATATCGAAGTATAACTTATAGTTTTATATTTTGCACTTTGTAAGTTTTAGGCATGTGCTTTAGTTGCCTATATAAATAGCATTAAATAACAACTTCACTCAATAAAGATTTTGTTTTCTCACAAATTCAGATTATAATGTTTTTTTTTCTCTTCTTCTTCTCTCATATTTTTCGAAAGCCCTTTTGTTTCAACAAATTGGTATCACGGAGCTTGGGTTGCGATTCAGAGAGAATATCTATTAGAAAATAGAACAACAACATCAACACAATTTTCAGCGGTTCTACAGGTTTTCAAAGGTAAGAACTACGAACGGTGGGTTGCGCAGACGAAGATTATCCTCAGATTTTAAGATGTATCTGAAATCATGAATGATGGAGTACCGGCATTAGAAACGAATGCAAATGATGTTCAGTAAGCTGCACACAAGAATCAAAGAAAGAAAGATGGAAAACTTTATGCTTGATTCACTAGTGTGTGGATCCTAACGTGTTCGAGAAGATAATTGAAGAAGAAACGACCAAAGGAACGTGGGACAAGTTAAAGAACTTGTACGACGAAAATGAAAAATTGAAAAGGGTGAAGTTGCACACTAACCTCTCTACTAAAATTCCTCAAAGGGGAAAAAGTCGGGTACAGTCTCACTGAGGTGCATGAATGGATTGATGGACACCACCTCGGCGCCCAAGAACTAGTTAAGGTTCCCAGATTTGAATATTATTTTCCATCTATAGTCCAAGACGCCAAAGAATATGAGAAGAGGTGTGACAAATGTCAAAAGCACAAATATGCTCATAACGTTCTCCCATCTGAGTTGCTTGTGTTGATGTCGTCGTGGCCTTTATCTTAATAGGACATGGATATTCTAGGTCCTTTTCCTCTAGCCCCGGTCAGGTAAAATTCCTGATGGTAGCAATATATTACTTCAAAAAATAGGTTAAGGCAGAAGCATTAAGGACATTCACTGCAGCCAATATACTGAAGTTCATTAAGAAAAACATTTTGGCTAGGTATGTAATTCCTCGATCTATTGTAACAGACAATGAAACACAATTTACTTACAAGGATTTGAAGAAGTTGTTAAAATATCTCAATGTCAAGCAACATTTCACCTCAACTGAGCAATCCTCTGACAAACGACAAGCAAAAGCAACAAATTGGGTTTTATTATAAGGGACTAAATAGAAAGCTTAAAATGGCTAAAGGGAACTAGGAAGAAGAGCTCCCACATGCTCTTTGGTCCTATAGGACAACACCTCATTCAATGAAAGGTGAGATTTAATTTTGACTCAATTACAGGACCGAAGTCGTGATTCCTGTCAAGATAGGAAAACTGAGTTGGAGGATGATACACCCCTTACCAAAAAAACACACAGGCCATTAGGGAAGAGATAAACTTCTTAGAAAAAATAGATATTTTTTCGCCCTCATGAGTGTGGCCGTGAAATAAATAACAACACTTAAGGTAAAAACAAGCGAGTCTGACCTCGAGTGTTCCAACTCGACAATCTAGTGTGAAGACAAGTCAATGTTTGCAGGATGAATGTCGGGGACAATAAACTCACACCCAGCTGGGAAAGGTAAAATCGACTCAAGGACGTTGAACGTCGCCAAACTCAAATGATATTTTAGTTAAATCTTCCCCTGGTTGTATGAGTGTGAATTAAAAACTATTATCTAATGTAATAATTTGATATGTGAGTTATACAATGATAACACGAAATCATATATATATATATATATTGATGCATAATTCAACTGATGTTTAACTGTTTTCGATCCGATTTCAGGTTATTTCCGTGTTATTTTTCTGATATTTTGCAGGTATTTGATAATCACGTCTAAACAAAGCAATATGAAGAAAAGAAGCAATCACAAATGAAATATGGACGAAAACCGGATGAAAACAACATGAAAAACGCAGAATGCATATTTTGCTGCTGTGACGACCGTCACAGCTCCATGACGACCGTCACACGGGTGACGACCGTCACACACCGTGACGACCGTCATGCAGGAAAAAACGCTCAACTTCAAATGCACGTGCAAGAGGCAGTTCCAAGTCCCAAATAGTGGACCACTACTCCCTGATATTTCTGCCTCTAAGTCCACCTTCTTCAAGTTATAACCGTTAGAATTCTATTTCTATAAAAGGGGAAGGAGGGGAGCTGAGAAAGGGAGCCGCATTCAGACAACAAAGTGCTGCCCAATTTCGTTTCCAGAGCAAAAGTTCAGTTTTATTTCTTTCTATTTTTTTTGTTGCCTTTCATTTCTTCTGTAATTCTTATTTCCCTTGTACGATCAATTGGCACAAAGACCAGAATCCTGCAAACATTTGTGGAGGATCTGCCCAAAGGTCAATTGGAATATTTACAGGTTTTAAATTTTAATCGTAATTTCAGTTTTCATTATGATGCATGTTATTATTTATTGTTTTTATTTATGTTTTACCTTTTCCAAATCCATGTCTAGCTAAATTAGAGTAATCGATATGTAATAATAATTCGGACGGGATTTGATAATAACCGGTTGAAGACTTTCTTTTTCAAAAGTTGTTTATGGTCTGAGTGTTTAAATTTATTTACTGAATAAACTTCGTCGCGAAAGCGAGAACTTATTTAAAAGTAGTTTTGCCACGAAAGTGGGAAATTAATTAAGGTACGAACCAACAAGCGAAAGCTGCGGCAAGACCAGATAGTAAACACTAGTCATTTGTTTTAATAACAGTGAAAGCACTTTAAAATGAATTAGAACTTAGAGATTTCCAAAAAATAGTTTTAACCCCGAAGAGACACGAAAGCGTACATTTGACCCCTAGAATTATGATTAGCGTCAACAACCATCGTGAGACGAGAGTCTTCAGATCACTATTTTCTGCTTAAATAAACTATGAAAAATATTCCATATACCGGTAACTTGTCAAATCCCCGAAGAACATAATTACTGCATATCGATTCACGTAATTATAATTTAAGTAACATTCTTAGTTCCCTTTAGTGACAATCTTATTCCCTTAAACATTATCTACCTAGCTAAACATAGTAACTCCTGAGAACACTAGTTTGATTACGAGTCCCTGTGGGATCGATATCTATTATTACTACGCGATAGACTGTGCACTTGCAGTTAAGTTGTATTAGACATAGAAAGAAGCGACCAAGTTTTTGGCGCCGTTGCCGGGGACCCGTTTAGTCAATAGTGTAACCTTTTGTTACACCGTATAGACTAGGTTAACTATTTTCATTTTTCCTTTACTAGTGTTGTCGATTGTATGCCAAGTAATCGCCCACAAGGCGATATCTTAAAACCTTCAGTCGCAGAACTAGAGCGCTTCTTACATTTAAGAAGTCGAATCATTGAGTACCAACTCAAACATAACATTCCCGATCCTCTCACTCCCATTCCCAAATCCGAAGAAAAACCAAAGATGGTCGAAGGACCTCAAAACAAACCGCTGAAGGCATACGCTATACCCTCTCAGATGGAGCCTAGAAGTAGCATTGCTGCCCCAGCTATTACTCGAAACGATTTTGAGCTGAAACCATCATAGTTGTCAGCTGTACAACAAAACCAATTCTCAGGAAATGCAACTGAGGATCCAAACGAACATTTAACGAAGTTTGTACAATACGCAGACACAGTGAAAGCAAATGGAGTAACTCCAGACGCGATAAGACTTCGTCTTTTCCCATTCTCTCTTAGAGACAGAGCGTGGACATGGTTACAATCCTTACCATCCAACTCCGTTACGACGTGGGAACAATTGAAGAACGTCTTCTTAGCGAGATATTTTCCGCCAAGCAAAACTGCTATGCTTAGAGCTCAAATCAACGGATTTCGACAAAAAGATATTGAATCTCTTTACGAAGCATGAGAACGATTCAAAGATATGATGAGAACATGTCCTCACCACGGTCTAGAAGACTGGGTGACAATCCATACTTTCTATAATGGGCTTTTATACAATACCAGATTAACGGTAGACGCCGCCGCGGGCGGTGCACTTATGGATAAGCCATACGACGAAGCCTATCAACTAATCGAAAACATGTCTCAGAACCACTGCCAATGGGGAGGTGAACGCACTTCAACAGAGAAACCCGCAGCGAAAGGTGGGATGTACGAGATCAGCAGCCTTGAAAAGTTCAACGCTAAAGTAGATGCTCTAGCATAGAAAATTGACAGTCTGACCGTTAACCCCACTGCAACCGTTGCTGCCGTAACTCCAAACTGCGAGTTATGCGGAAGCACCACTCATAATGCGCCCGAATGCCCATTGCTAGCCGGAATCCCACCAGACCAAGTAAACTATGCTCAAGGAAATCCCTACGCAAATACCTATAACCCAGGTTGGCGAAATCATCCAAACTTTTCTTACAAAAGCGATAATGCATTGCAAATGCCTACTGCTCCGCCAGGATATCAGAAACCAGCTGCTACTCAGACTGCACCTAGGAAATCAAACCTCGAGTTGATGATGGAAAAATTCATAGCTACTCAAGCTCAAACAAACAAAGAATTCCTGAATCAAAACATACACACTAGCGAGCAAATTAAACAGTTGACCGGAAAAGTAGACGCTTTAGCCACCCACAACAAAATGCTAGAAACACAGATATCACAAGTGGCTCAACAACAAGCCTCTGCTGCCGCACCCGCTGGCACATTTCCTGGA